AAATTCAACCAGACTTTTTAACAGTGTTGATCCTAACAACTGTTCAAAACCCAACGTATTATTTTCGTTTTTCCCATTCATTAATCGTCCCAATCAATAAACCCAGGCATTTTTTCGTCGCCCACATTAGACCGTTGAATGGAACAAAGAGCTGCCTTTGCCTGAATTAACTCATCTCGGATTGTTGACGTTTTAATGAGGCGTTAACCGCGAATTCTTCTAAAATGTCCGCTAATAAGACCACCTTTTACTACTCTTACTTAATTGTGACTGGCGACTTTTGCCACCCAGAAAGGTTGGTCGATGATCGACTGCCACCCATGGCGCCATGACCAGCAGATTTCGACCCAAACGACGGCGAATGGGGTAAAACAAACGGTTGTTCACCGAAAAATGAAAAAATCTTGATGCATTCCTTTTCTATTTGTGTGGCTAAACGGTTCAGTTTACTCAAATTTTCACCCCCATCGTGTCGATTTTGACGAAATAATGACGTCACTGCCAAATAAATTGGGCAGACTTTGCAGCTGACATAATTAAAAAAAGACGTTTTAAAAACGATGTTACTCACTTCCTCTCATGTTTGCGCGCAGTTTTTTTCATTAGCCACGCACAATTCGTAACAGAAAAAGTGCGTCCCCTCGCCTTATTCCTAAATCAATTAAATCTGACTTACGGAGAATCAAAATTCAAAATACCTGAGTTAAGCGTTCGGTCGCTGAGCAAATTCGGCGGGATTATGGAGGGCGATTCGATCCCGTAACCTGGCAAACTCCCGGGGGTTGTTTTAATATGGAATAAGCCCGGTTTTAGCTTTCAATACAGTTGATATTTACCGGAATAATGGAATTACGGATGTACGTCCCTCCAATTCTCAATTGGTATATTGGAAAAGTCGCCTTTTATTGCCTTCTAAGCCCGATTAGAGTTGGGCAGATTACGCAAAAAGTTGTATTTATCTAAACTGCTCAACAAAATGAAGAGTACACCGCCAAATTTGGCCTAAATATGCAACTGGATCACTTCTGATTAGAGTTCTACTAAACGGTTATTTTTATGGAACAGGTTCAACGTTGCAGTTCCACTTTGATATTCGGTACTAAAGTGCCGTTGCAAATTTAACATGCAACTTTTTAAATTTTTCAATAAAAATTTGCAATGATGGTGATGGTAGAAATTGAATAATCTTCTTCTTGTCTATCCTTTTACTGAACGTCCTCTGATTGATGGGGCACCACACTTTTTGTAATAACATTTGAATTATTTACGCGTGTTATTAAGTCAGCAATAACATAAAATAATCCACATTAACAGTAATACTTATAGACTAAAAATGCTCAATTATATCATCGCCCAAACTAAACAATATTTCGCTGAAGAACTAAACACTAATTCTTATAGACGGAACTGAAACCGCTTGAACTGTTAAATTGGCAAAGTGTAACTGCGGTTCCCGGTTACACGTCTGGAACACTGTTACTTTAGCGGTTGCGTTAAATAATATAATAAATGCATTTTTTGCAACGATTTTTTATTTTTTGTTTGACATTCAGAACTGTTACATTTTTCCATTTTCCACTCTGTAGAAACTTTGTGTGAATTAGTCAACTCTCGCAAAAACAGTCGAACAAAAACTTAAATTGCGTCTACTTCCATAAATACTCGAAAAAAATCGACAACAAGGTGAATCATACTCAACTGAATTATGCAGAGCAGCATTTAAATCGCTATAAAAAAAATCCGACAAGCGAACGCAAACATGAAATAAGCAACAAGAGCAGTAGAGAAGCTCTCACACCAGATGGAAAAACTCTATCGATCCGACAGCGTTCTGAGGACGACCGTTGCTCTGAAGCTCCGCTTTTCTTGCGCCGGAAATAAAAGAGGAAAAAGCAAAGGGAAAAACGGGCAAGCAAAGACGTGACAACGGCAATTGGCAATTTGTCAGCAATTAAAACAAGACATCATTAAATCAGCAACGCTGCCGAGATGGGCTTTGTTAGGTCACGTATGGGCCCCCAACTCAAGTGGCTCTTGAGGCTCCCTCCACTCTTCGCCCAGTTTTAGGGCTGATAGAGCATGCACCGCCACCAACCGATGTCATGTGCTGCATTCGGGAAAAAAACCGGGGAAAATATTGGGGTTTTTCATAAATACGTCGGAATTGGCTTTGTTTTGGGTCTTATAACGTGCAAAAGTTTGGGGGACAATCTACCAATTTTCATCATTCTGGGAGCCGATTTGGCATATTTTAAGTCAATCATGTACCTTGTTAAAGACACTAATCTTGATGAGCAAGACGGTCTTGGTCTTGCAAAAGAAGCTAATTGCTTTTAAGGCAAAAAATCGTGTTATCGATAAAGCAGCTCGCTTTCCGTACTGCCGATTTAAGTTGGGCAACTTTAGAGGTTGGACCGCATGAATAGGGTGTTTTCATTGTATCAAAACTTCCTACAAACTGAACATTAATCTATGGTAATATATCTATCTATTGCCATTTTGTTAAATATTCAATAAACAAATTCAGCTAAAATTCAAATTATTTATGAATCTCTAAAACGCAATCCTACGTTGGACGCAAAACGCGTTGGTTGTGACGTCTCTGGTCATATAAATGGCGGATTGTTTACGTTCTGTGCATAGTGTTCAGATGTGTGGTTGTGTTTCATTAATTATTTTGTGGATTTAAATAATTTATAGTTCGTCGTAAACTAAAAAATCGCTTCAGAAGGATTCCTTAAAGCGCCACCAAACAATTTATCATGTGTACATATTTTTATGGTTACCGAATTTTTAATAAACGACGAACGCTTAAATTCAGCCGAATTTAAGGGTGTCAAAGCAGCAGCGTAAGTAAAAATCCGTAAATTCATTATTAGTTACTCTCTCCTTAATATACTAATCTGTCTGTATTGGTTTAAATTCCCAACATCACGAGAACAATATGGTGATATTGGATATGTGGAATTGAAACGCGAGGGTTCTTTGTGCACTGGACAAGGTAGAATTTGCCCAGAACACAAAGTACGATCGGAGGCATATTCTGTCTGCCTCATCATTAGCTTTTTGTGCGTACTTTCATTAAAATGATCCTCGCAACAAAAAAACATTGATTTTGATTTAGGAACATCACGTCTAGCTGCTTTGAACCATAAAACTTTACGTGCATAATCA